GCTCCCCTTGTGGCATCCTGTGCGTCCTTGGTCTCTCAGCTTGGCACTTTCTGCCCTGTAGAAACCACCCTTTGAACCTATCAGGGACATTTCCCTAGAGGATATTTATTGCAAAGTATCCTTCTTGATCTCCGTCATGTCTGTCAGACCTGTTTCTGATCTGGTGGCCCCTTTCCTCTAAAGAGTCTTTCTTCATACTTCACAATGACAAAGTTGTCTTGTGCCCAAGGCCATCTTTTCTTTCAAAGGTAGTTTCAGTATTCCACCTTAATGAGGATGTTGTCTAACCATGCTTATGTCCTGCTCCTAAGCATCCAAAGTAAATCTGTCTACATTGTGGGGATGTGACTAGAGCCATTAGAGTATAACTCAGGGCTACTGATTAAGTCAGATGGGTGCTCTTTTTTTCCTGTCCTTGATAACCCACAAAAGATAGCCTGCTTCATATTCCACCATCGCACGATGTGTATGGAATCTGGTTGCAAGAGCTTACATTCTCAAAGAAAAATCTCCTCCTGCGTTTTTATGCGCCCATTTCACCTGATTGGTGGGAGTTTCCTCGGCACCAAGCCTCTGTAGTTCAGTTGTGTAAAGCTACCACATGGTCTTCTGTTCTTACTTTTTCAAAGTTTACCAGGTGGACATCCAATCTTCTGCCAGTGCAGTTTATGGCCTTTTGACACAGTTATTGCTTACCCTTCTTTTTCATTGCTTGGTGTGTGAATCTGTCTCTGTCCTGTACTGTACAATTAAGATGAGAGGAATTTTACCTTACCTGTAATTTCCATATCTTGAAGCCCTTTCCTTGGTTTACTCTGCATTGCTTGCTACAAAACTGAGGACTTGTGGAGTTGAGTAGGTTTATTGGGAAAGTGCCCAGGGGCGAGTCCTCAAACGTTCTGCCAGTATCTAATCACCTGAAGGTACATACTTATAACCCACAGTGTATGAATAATCTGCCTGTGTCTTGTACTGTACTCCTGGATATAAAAATGTACAGGTAAGTCACAATTCCTCTTTTTGCATATTTTCAGAATACACAAAACATAAAAAGCAGTGTATGCAGAGAGGAAACCTTTACACATTCAGTCAAGACACGAAGGAAAGCATAATGGCAAAGTTTGTTAGGAGCCAGCCTTTTGGACATTGCTGCACTGGTTTCTTCATCATGGAACACTTAATGACCAGAGACTAGGGACACCTAGTATGACAAATCCTCCTGCAGTATGGTGGCAGGATACACAGCAATATTGATTTAATTTTTGTTTTTTTTAATCTGCTATTTTCTTTAAATTCAGCATCATTAGGAAACCAGTGTATTATTTAGTAATCTGGGGTATTCAGGGAAAAAAAATAAACTGTTTCTGCATTATTGATAGGTAAATGTTACTGTCTGTATGGATGTTTAGTAGTGAGGTTTTTACATTGTTAAGACTGTGCTCCTGTCTAATATAGTGTTGTACTGATTGACCTAGAGCCAAAAGAAAGATGAACTTTCAGGAGATAATTGCCAAGAAGGTGCCAGCCAGGTTGGTGGTTTCAATGGCTTCTGCAGTGGTCAGTCTTTTGCATGTAGCACTTGTCATCCATACATATGTTGTCCTTTTATTTGCATATTGCGTTATTGGCTGGGGCAGTCAAGGTGATGTACAAGTCATATTGCAAAATGTGCTGATGTAATTGGCTCTAACAGCAGCAACAGCTTACATTTCTTTCCTTTTTTTTAAATACATTTTCATTGCACTGTTTCTGTACCGAATTTTATTTATAACATGACATAATTATTTTTTTTTTCCAAAATCATTTTTGCTAGAATTGTCTGCTTATTTTTTGTTGTTGAAATACATTCATTCTGTTTGCATAAACAGTAGTACAGTTGATTTCTCAGTATGAAAACAAATAAAACTCCAGCTTGATATAACATGGTAATTCATAAGTTACACAGTCAACAATATTTTTAAAGCTGTTAAGTCTTAAATGCTAGTATAGATTTTTTTTTTTTTTTTTTTTATAGGTTACAGGATAATTTTGTAGTCTGAAAATACAAGTAGGGTTTCTAAACCCTTTTGTCTGTGTTGAAAATGTTATTTTCAAAATAATCAACCATAGAAAAGGGCTTCTTTTAGCCTATACCTATACCAAAAAGGTAAGTAAATATTAGCACTGTTTTTGATGGTAATAAAAATATTACCACATTACAGTGGGTTCCTTGATAGTAGCAGCTGCTATATGCTAGAAACGCCTGTGTGTTTCATAGTTAAAGGGTTAAACAACTTGAGAAGATAAGTTCTGAACTGCTGATGATGGAAGTAATATAACTACTATGCAATTCCCCTAAACAATACATACTTCCATTAATACAAGTGAACGTATAAATATATAATTGTATATTAATAATAATGAAAAATTATCATCATAATTCACTGATTAAAATTGTTATAAGTTTATCCACCATGTAGTGTCCTTTTTAAAACATCCAGCTTGTGTAGCAGGTGAACAAATCTCTCATCTCAATAAAATATAGTGCTAGTGCTTCCACTGTTTCCAAAATGTACCCCAGTGGCAGAAGTCGCTCACCGGATTTGACCTCTGGTAAATAAATAGGACAAACCAAGATGTACTGCAATCTCCAATGGACAAGACCCTTCCAAAAAGCCCAAACATAGAAAGCACAGAAAGAAGATGATGATATGGCTTGAAAAGTATCACTTCTTAAAAATCTATAAAAACATACCGCTCAAATTGTGCTTGCAAGGGAACTAGAAGCAAAACAGCATCTGATTATCTCTAGTTGTATTGAAAAGCAGCTGTTCTAAATATAGGGGGTATATTTAGGTAGAGCAAAGATTTTCTTTCTAATTACTGGTTACATATGTACTAAAGTTACATAGTTGAGAACAGGCAATCTATTCACATGCATAGTTTTAATCCCCTGTCTTGTGCAACCTCCCTTTCATGCTTAGTGTTGTGTGAACACAGCTGAGAGAGGGGGCAAAGCATGAGCTGACAATTATTTTGTCCCAACTTTTCTCATGTTTAGTCTTTAGGGCATGTACAAGGTGTGACAATTTAATGGGCTGTAAAAAAAAATAGTTTTTTTTACCTTTTACAGTAGATGAAAATTTGAAGACTGCGTTCTTTCTGATCTTATGTCATGATTAGAGGCACCATCTTTGCGGAACGTTTTCTCATTCCCAAATTCTCCATTGGAATCCGTCACGCTGTTTCCCTGTTCTTGTTCAATTCTGCCATCATTCGCACACTGAATCTTCAATCTGAGCATATAAGGGTTTGCACTCTGTCCATGTTTGCATCCGTCCCTTGCGTTTTTGGTTGCCCACTTCTTGTGTCATTGTGGACATCTTCCTACCCCTCCTTTAAATCGCCTATACCATTCAAAAACACTTGATTTCCTCATGAAATGTTCACCATAAGTCTGTTGTAATAGAGCTAAAGTTTCACTCACTTTTGCCAATTCGCACGCAAAATTTGATGTTAATCCACTGCTCCAGATTCCTTTTACTCATTTTGCTCCAACAGCGCAACACACAGATGTTATTTTTTCCACTACTCTGTAATGCCTGGGTGGCACACCAGTTGACTCAATCAAGTGCATGTCAGAACACGCTCAAGTGTGAATGGCTGTGACTCACCACCATACTACTACGCCTTGGGCATTCTGGGAATTAAATTGTCACACCTTGTAGAATATGCTAGTGGGGCATTTGTGTGTACTTTTAAGACCTAGAGGTGGCCATTCATCTAGGTTTTTGGTCATTTAACTACAAATAATACAGCTAATGAACACCAGTTGTGCATAGAAATAATATATGCACGCACTTTCTAAAAGACCTTCCTTTTTTTTTTTTTTTTTTTTTTTTTTTTACACAATATGCAAGCTTATATATCGCCCCTCACTCCAACTCTGAGCAACAGTGGGATCTGGTCAGTGCTAAACCAGCTGGTCTGGTTGATTTCTCCCAACAGTTAGATTAAGTTGTCTGTTCTAGCCTTTCCTAAATGTATCAATGAAAGGAGAACTTGTTACCCAATTCTAGGAAATTGGTCAGACTTGGCAATGCTCAGTTCTCCCCAAGTGACAAGCAGCTGGCTCAGCCTCCTCTCAGCTGCACTGCTGGGTGACTGAGCCAGTCAATCCTTCCCCTCCCCAGCCCGGCATTTGAGGGCAGAGCAGAGAGCCAGTGACTGACAGTCACCATTCTCTGCTTGCAGTGGAGTGGAGAACTGAGCAATCAGTGGTGTTTGATTACTCAGTTCTCAGTACAGAGACGGTGGGGACAGATACAGTATCGGATTGATGCTGAATTCACCTAGGTGGGTATCATTTTCATTTTTAATCTTTTGTAAACCCCATACTTCTTTTTTAAAATCTTAGCACATAACATTAATGTGTACTGTGTGTCCTGTGGACATGCCAAATTCACTATATCGAAATCCCAGCTTTAGTTTTTTTTTTTTTTTTTTGACAAGCCTCTCCATCCTTTGATCTTTTCATGCTGTGTAATGGTAGCTTGACTATTACAAAAACTATTCCATATATACATTTTAATGCACTTACATTTTTTAGAGGTTTATTTATATATGTACATATTTTTTATTGGTTTCAAGGTTTGATTTGTGTGTTCGTGTAGTGCATTCACATGATTTTTGGGTTACTTATGAGTGGACGGCCATAAATATATATATAAAAATATTATACACATCCACACCCCAAGAAGTGGGTCTTACAGGATATGAAAATTACTTGTCATGTTGTTGATATAGTAAATAGGTACTGGTAGTTTATTCTGTTGCTCCTTATAGAGTTTTCCTAACTTATTAATTTCTTTGTTATGTATTACTGTATGTACCACAATACAGGTTCTTTATGTGTTTTCATTCTGGGGCAGATGCCTCTTCACTGACATTTCTCACATCACTGTTTGTGTATGCTTCTTTAGGAGGAAGATGAAGTTCCTGATGATGAAACTCTAAACCAGATGATTGCACGCCATGAAGAAGAATTTGACCTTTTCATGGTAAACAGATTAGAAATTGCATTTTTTGTGACCTCTCCATTATGAGATAGCAGCACTGTCTGCCATACAGATATTCATTAGTGATTCTTGACAAATCTTTCAGAATTAAAACATTTATTAAACAGCATCATGGGTCTAAAATGACATTTTATCAGTATGTGTGTTTTAGCTTAAACTGGTAAGAGTGAATTCAGTTATTCCATGGTAGGTCTTGCTCTTTACACAGAGCTGAGAGATGTGAGACCAGACTGTCTTATGTTTATGGTAGAGCTGTTTAGTTCTCTTCGTAAATTTATGAAATATGTTTCTATGCAAGAACACAGAATAATTTGTTCACTTTTTAACCCAACCTTGCATTTCAGTCATTGAAAGTCAGCATATGCTGTGCTTGTGCTGCCCCTACCATGAGTGGCCAAGCACTGCTGATGAAATGAGGTATAAAAGCATCCAACACAAATAAAGATAGCATTTTGATCATTTTAATTTGCTACAGGCATTATATAGCCTTTTGTAAAGATGAATTTCTAGTTGCATACCGTACAATCTATATGATATCTTTATTAATAGGGAAGCAAGGATGACCCATGAGATTGCACCATTAATGGAACCAAGTACACTAACTTTTCTTCAGAACAGATATTATTTCCATTGTTATACTAGACTGCGGAGAGTCTGTTTATCAAGGCATCAGTTATGGATCAAACTTCCATATACAAACATTTTAATAGCTGTGATTGTTTTCCTAATTTGCTGTACGTTGTGTGAAAGTAAAATGTAACTCATCTCCCACTGAATGACCCAGTATTTAATGTTCTTGAACTGTGAGTTATAATGCCACCTGCAGAAAGACTAGGTGCAATAAAACTTGAGACCAGCCTCTAGGGGCCATAATTCCTTTCAAAACCAACTAGTTCAGTTTAACCTATCGTCCCAAAGCAAGCAAAACCTTGATGTGCCTTATTGCAAGAGCAAGACTCTGCTTCAGGTGGCATATCCTACAGCTACAGAGGTTGGGCACTAACAAGCGCGCTCTATATAATATACAGTTGTGTTCAAAATAATAGCAGTGTGTTGAAAAAAGTGAATAAAGCTCAAAATCCTTCTAGTAGCTTTTATTTCCATACACACAAATACATTGGGAACACTACACATTCTATTCCAAATCAAAACATGAAAAAAAATATATCAAATTTGTAGTGTTCCTCTTAAAAAATTGAAGAAAAGTGAATATTAGACTGTTCAAACAAATAGCAGTGTTTGTATTCTTCTTTACAAACTCAAACATTCACTATATAAACTGAAAAATGTTTGAAGATTTTGCTTTCCTTTGAATCACTTAATTAATATTTAGTTGTATAAGCACTGTTTCTGAGAACTGCTGTACATCTGTGTTGCATGGAGTCAACCAACTTCTGGCACCCATGAACAGGTATTCTAGCCCAGGATGATTGGACTACATTCCACAGTTCTTCTCTCTTTCTTGGTTTTGCCTCAGAAACTGCATTTTTGATGTCACCCCACAGGTTTTCTATTGGATTAAGATCCAGAGATTGGGCTGGCCACTCCATAACGTCAATCTTGTTGGTCTGGAACCAAGATGTTGCACGTTTACTGGTGTGTTTGGGGTCGTTGTCTTGTTGGAACACCCATTTCAAGGACATTTACTCTTCAGCATAAGGCAGCATGACCTCTTCAAGTATTCTGATGTATTCAAACTGATCCATGATCCCTGGTATGCGATAAATAGGCCCAACACCGTAGTATGAGAAACATCCCCATATTATGATGCTTGCGCAACCATGCTTCACTGTCTTCACAGTGTACTGTGGCTTGAATTCAGTGTTTGGGGGCCGTCTAACAAATTGTCTCCGGCTACTAGGCCCAAAAAGAATAATCTTACTTTCATCAGTCCACAAAATGTTGCGCCATTTCTCTTTAGGCCAGTCAATGTGCTCTTTGGCAAATTGTAACCTCTTCAGCACGTCTTTTTTTCAACAGTGGGACTTTGCGGGGGCTTCTTGCAGATAGCTTGGCTTCACGTAGGCGTCTTCTAATTGTAACAGTACTCATAAGTAACTTTAGACCTTCTTTGATCTTCCTGGAGCTGATTGTTGGCTGAGTCCTTGCCATTTTGGCTATTCTTCTATCCATTCGAATGGTAGTTTTTCGCTTTCTTCCACGTCTTTCAGGTTTTGGTTGCCATTTTAAAGCATTTGCGATCATTTTAGCTGAGCAGCCTATCATTTTCTGCACTTCTTTGTATGTTTTCCCCTCTCCAATCAACTTTCTAATCAAGGTACGCTGTTCTTCTGAACAATGTCTGGAACGACCCAGTTTCAGAGAGAAATGCACTGTAACCAGCATGTACAACATTTGCTGCCTTCCTTCCTTAAATAAGGGCAATAATTGCCACCTGTTTTTCAAAGAATGAATGACCTCACTAATAGAACTCCACACTGCTATTATTTTGAACATGCTCCTTTCAATTAGTGATTCAATTACACAGAATCAGCAGCATGCATGTCATGATTGTGGGGTCTGTTGGATTTCTATTACTCTACTACACCTGCTAGTAAATTATTTGCCATGTAGAAATATCATTTCTACCAAAAACAGTGATTGATCAGGTTAGTGATGTCTGACTGCTATTATTTTGAACACAACTGTACATTTTCTGGCATATCCACATTGATCTCAGGATGCAATATTTTTTTCAGGTCTGTTTGCAAGTGGGTTGTGCATACGATTCCCTCCTGTTTATTTCCCCCAGTGCTTTTGTATGCTATGTTTGATACTACTGTGCAAGGGTATCACTTTGTTTGCAAACCTTGATAATTTTCCATGCTGGACTCAACCACCTTGTCTGAAGCTAGTTGCTATTCAAAGAAGGAGTATTCACTATATGCCTTCTTTGCGACAAGTGGGGACTTCGTGTCTGAACAAAAGACACAGCTTTATCTGGGCCTTCCCAATATCTTTTGATTTCAATTTGTCAATTGTCTGCGGTAAAAGCTGTGGCCTCTTCATTGGCTGTTGCAGATTACATTACAACAGAGGCCTTTTACTCTTCTATGGAGGGATTTATGTTTGCACTATTCATAGCTCGTGACGCAGCCTTGTGAATTGGGCTGTGTATACTTTCACCCATCTACCCATCTTTACCCAGCTGCCTGGTGAAATCAAACCTTGATGCACCAATCCTGGATGTATTGGTCTTAGGTCTTTCAGTGGCTTTGTCTACCCTTACCATCAGAAACCAGCGGTTGCCCTTTTCATTGTTTCACTTTGCAGCACTTTAAATTTGCAGGATTCTCTGCGCTTTTACTGTGATGAAGTAGCTCACAATCTACTAATGGTTCAGATGCTGTTTACAGGAGGCCCATTGATGCGGCTGACATCTGCAGGCTGAAATCGTGGCCCACTTTCCTTGAATCTATCCCATCCTTGGAGTTTTTCCTGGCCCTGTTGGGTGTGGCGGGCTTATTACTTCTTTCTTTGCTGAAGTCTTTACTGCAGTCATGCATGACTTTATGGCACAAATCAAACCGTTTACTTCCATGCTATTCCTTGCAGATTCTGTATCTGATCAGCCTGTGGCTTTAGCAGCTTCTGTGCCTTCAACCTCTAAGACTGATTCTGGGTCACTTCAAATCTTACTGCACAAGTTTGCCTCTGAGGAGACACAGTCTTCTACTATTACTCCCAACTTAAGACTGTTGTAGTTCCTCTTTTTTTTTTTTTAAATTTAAATATTATATTATTGTTTTTCAAATCACCATTTTAAATATAGAAAAAAAAATAAAACCGGTAGAATACATTACATATATCTGTCAAACATTCCCCACATATAACCTTAGTCTTGGTGACCTTTTACCCCTCCCCTTTCCTATTCAACCCCCCCAACCCCGCTTTGATTATGCTCTTTTAATTTCATACTTAAAAATCTATTCCTTGAGTAATACTGATATTATACTATACTTATCCCCTTTAACTTCTTTTCCTTATTTCACATGTTTTAGGTATAAGTCTGACTTTTTAAATTGCACCCACTTTTCCCATCTTGTACAGAAGACCTCCATTTTATCTTCCTCCATATGGCAAAGTTCCTCCACTCTATATATCTTCTCCACTCTTTCTACCCAACCCTTTATTTTCGGTGCCTGTTGTTTCCTCCAAAACTTGGGTATCAGTCCCTTCCCTGCATTCAGATAATACAATAATCCAGTTTTTTTATATTTTTGACTGAGAACGTGGTACCATAAAGAAGACAAGTCTTGAGGTCCTTAGGAATATTTACCTTTGTTATTTCCTGAATTATACTCACTATACCCTCCCAGTATTTTTGAATTTTTTGACACTCCCACCATAGGTGAAATATTGTACCTCTCTCTCTACATCCCCGCCAACATAAAGGTGAGTTTTCTCCACTTATTCTATGTGCTTCATATACCATCTTACTAAACACTTGTAATTAATTTCCACTTCCTTCATGTTTACATTGCCATGAATTAAACTATATATTTTCTTTTGTTTTCCCTCATCAATTATTACTTCTAAATCCCTTTCCCATTTTTCTATACATGATGGCCTAATAGCCGTGGTTAATCCTGTGAGAATCTTATATATTTTAGTAATCCCATGCTTCCCATCTCCTCTTGTATCTAATAAGTGCTCAAAGGGGTTCCAATCTTTTTTTCTTAATGGCATTGGGAGACACCCTACAAGATGTTTTAGTTGACAATAACGCCATTCATCCATTCTCGCAAATATATCCCTCTTACTTTCCATTTTGCTAAGTGAACATATTTCTTCTCTCGCCATTATATCTCTTAATTGAACATCTTTCTTCTTTATGCACTTCCCTGTAATACTCTGTTTACCTGGAAGAAAAAACTCTGTGGATCCTAGGGGCATTAGCATGGAATTAAATTCCCACCCCCTTTGTTTGTGTAAAGTATTCCAAACTCTCAAAACATTTTGTGTAAACAAACTTGTGCTAT